GTATTTGATGATAAAAGAGGAACGATTATTCATTTCATCTTAAACTTGTAGAAATCCTGTGAGAAAATACTCAACGCTTTGTGAAATGTAGTACTGCACATTAATTTTAGGCTGAACTTCCAGGAGGATCTGTTGACAGTTGTAGATGAAATCTGATCTGTTGTGTAAAATACACCTTAAACAATTTTCAAATAAAACCAATGTAATCCAGTAATATAAAAACAACTCACTGCGATTTTCAAAAATGTTTGTTCAAACTTCTACACAAGGATCAACTTAGGAAAGAGAGACAACTAACAAACCACAACAAACTCTCAGGCATCAGATTCAAATTCATCATACTGCTTCAATACTAAACATCCAATGATTATTAATTGAAAAAAGAATGTATTCATGAAAAATACTCAAAGCAAACAATCACTACTGTGGAAAAAGTTGAATCTCTGAGATGTTCGAGAGAATCAGCAAAGGGTAAAAGGAAAACTGCATGAACCACATAGGTAACATAATTCTAAACACACAAAATGCAACATAAACCAGCTCCAAGCACAAAGAAACAAATAACCGTTTCATGAAAAGTTTTTCATGTGAGACTGAGTAAAACAAGAAATCTAAAGTCAATGTGTCCATGTGAATTCTAAATCACCTGCAGACATACAAAACTACCAATGCAGTAAAAATGATACCAGGTGAAATGATTGAAGCAAAACCTAAGAATGACTTTTGCAGAACACTGAAAAAGACTTTAGTGATATTTACTGTGTCCATATGAGAACCATCACCTTCTCTAAAAACATCAGGAAAGTTACGAGGACATCTCATCAGTCTGGTCAGCACAGTGTTTGTCATAAAGTTACTGCGTCTGGAACCTGTTGTAAAATCGGTTTTATGTGATTGAACTCAATTTCCAAAAGCATAAACAAAATATACTGGACTTTTATTCAGAGCCTTTTTGGCAAAACAAGTTAGTAAGTAAAACTCATTTGAAATCTTTGAATGATGGAAGAAAGTAAAAGACACGGGTTGCTTCTGAAAATACATCTCCAGTGCAAAAGTGAGGTTCAGCACCAAGGACAGAAAAACTCTGCTGCTTTGTGGTCAAGTAATACATCTTTGGGGGAAAAGAAAATTAAAAAGTCTCTCAGATGACCACAACAATTGAAATACCAGCATACAAAAGCGGACAACTCTTCTCTGAACTATCAGAAAACACTACAATGCTCAATCTTTACTAAGAAGAGAAGTATTCTCCAAGATGTTCAGGATGAGCATAAAGGAACAAAATATTTCTTGAGAGTAAAGTTTGAGTTATTTAAAAAGGTATAGTATACATAGCATATGTGTTGTGGATTGTTGATTTGCCATTTGAAAAGGCAAGACAGGCATGTACAAATTTATCTGGGGTTTTTTATGAATTGTGTTAAATTCAAAGGTTTTGAGCAGAATATGACTCCCAGTCTTACCTCAGGAGAAGAATCASAGTCTCCAAAAGCATCAGCAAAATCAGAAGGACTTTTCCTCAGAGTCTGGTCAGCAGG